AAAATACAGCAAATACAATAAATGCCTTAAATAAACACAAAATATACATTTAACAAGAATAATAAACATAAAAAAATTAAATAAAATAAATTTGATAAAATTAAGAAATAAATATACATATAAAGCTACAGATCACTTAAGAGTTTATTCTAGTATAAATTTGTATTAGCTGCTTTAATAAATTTAATGGAAAAAAGCTTTTGGTGGATAAAATTCAAGAGGCTTCAACGAATTTAAAATTTCGCTATAATATATTCTTGCATATCAAGTATAACCAATAAAAACAATATCTACATTCGAAATCGAAAGAATCTATACAAATTTATCTTTTGTTAACAATGATTTGGTAATAAATGCTTTTGAAGTTTAAACTAGACATCTTTAGACTGATAGATAAGTACTAATATACAGAGTTAATAACCTTTTGGTTTTTAGTTATTCAAGCACCAGATGTCTTTGTCTACCAAAGTAATACAATGAATGCTAATGCTTACTGCAGGGTATTCTTTATTTAATGAGATACAAAAAATGTTGTTTAACAATTTGAGCATATACTTAAATTCAACAAATGGGCGTTTAATAATGTCAAATGCCATGACGTCCAAAATTAAAATGCGGGTGGGCTTATAAATTAGACGGATATACAAGATCTGCAACTAAATAAAAAATGGAGTTGAATAAAGAAGTACGAAGTGCACTAAATCTGGACAAGAACTGAGCTGAACTAGAACTGATCTAGAACTGAACTAGAACTGAACTAGAACTAGAACTGAACTAGAACTGAACTAGAACTGAACTAGAACTGAACTAGAACTGAACTAGAACTGAACTAGAACTGAACTAGAACTGAACTAGAACTGAACTAGAACTGAACTAGAACTGAACTAGAACTGAACTAGAACTGAACTAGAACTGAACTAGAACTGAACTAGAACTGAACTAGAACTGAACTAGAACTGAACTAGAACTGAACTAGAACTGAACTAGAACTGAACTAGAACTGAACTAGAACTGAACTAGAAACTGAACTAGAACTGAACTAGAACTGAACTAGAACTGAACTAGAACTGAACTAGAACTGAACTAGAACTGAACTAGAACTGATAGAACTGAACTAGAACTGAACTAGAACTGAACTAGAACGGAACTAGAACTGAACTAGAACTGAACTACAACTGAACTACAACTGAACTAGAACTGAACTAGAACTGAACTAGAACTGAACTAGAACTGAACTAGAACTGAACTAGAACTGAACTACAACTGAACTACACTGAACTAGAACTGAACTAGAACTGAACTAGAACTGAACTATAACTGGAACTAGAAACTGAACTAGAACTGAACTAGAACTGAAGTAGAACTGAACTAGAACTGAACTAGAACTGAACTAGAACTGAACTAGAACTGAACTAGAACTGAACTACAACTGAACGACAACTGAACTAGAACTGAAACTAGAACTGAACTAGAACTGAACTAGAACTGAACTAGAACTGAACTAGAACTGAACTAGAACTGACTATGAACTACTAGAACTGAACTAGAACTGAACTAGAACTGAACTAGAACTGAACTAGAACTGAACTAGAACTGACTAGAACTGAAACTAGAACTGAACTAGAACTGAACTAGAACTGAACTAGAACTGAACTAGAACTGAACTAGAACTGAACTAGAACTGAACTAGAACTGAACTAGAACTGAACTAGAACTGAACTAGAACTGAACTAGACTGAACTAGAACTGAACTAGAACTGAACTAGAACTGAACTAGAACTGAACTAGAACTGAACTAGAACTGAACTAGAACTGAACTAGAACTGAACTAGAACTGAACTAGAACTGAACTAGAACTGAACTAGAACTGAACTGAGAACTGAACTAGAACTGAACTAGAACTGAACTAGAACTGACTAGAACTGAACTAGAACTGAACTAGAACTGAACTAGAACTGAACTAGAACTGAACTAGAACTGAACTAGAACTGAACTAGAACTGAACTAGAACTGAACTAGAACTGAACTAGAACTGAACTAGAACTGAACTAGAACTGAACTAGAACTGAACTAGAACTGAACTAGAACTGAACTAGAACCTAGAACTGAACTAGAACTGAACTAGAACTGAACTAGAACTGAACTAGAACTGAACTAGAACTGAACTAGAACTGAACTAGAACTGAACTAGAACTGACTAGAACTGAACTAGAAACTGAACTAGAACTGAACTAGAACTGAACTAGAACTGAACTAGAACTGAACTAGAACTGAACTAGAACTGAACTAGAACTGAACTAGAACTGAACTAGAACTGAACTAGAAACTGAACTAGAACTGAACTAGAACTGAACTAGATACTGAACTAGAACTGAACTAGAACTGAACTAGAACTGAACTAGAACTGAACTAGAACTGAACTAGAACTGAACTAGAACTGAACTAGAACTGAACTATAACTGAACTAGAACGACTAGACTGAACTAGAACTGAACTAGAACTGAACTAGGAACTGAACTAGAACTGACTAGAACTGAACTAGAACTGAAACTAGAACTGAACTAAACTGAACTAGAACTGAACTAGAACTGAACTAGAACTGAACTAGAACTGAAACTAGAACTGAACTAGAACTGAACTAGAACTGAACTAGAACTGAACTAGAACTGAACTAGAACTGAACTAGAACTGAACTAGAACTGAACTAGAACTGAACTACTGAACTAGAACTGAACTAGAACTGAAACTAAACTGAACTAGACTGAACTAGAAACTGAACTAGAACTGAACTAGAACTGAACTAGAACTGAACTAGAACTGAACTAGAACTGAACTAGAACTGAACTAGAACTGAACTAGAACTGAACTAGAACTGAACGAGAACTGAACTAGAACTGAACTAGAACTGAACTAGAACTGAACTAGAACTGAACTAGAACTGAACTAGAACTGAACTAGAACTGAACTAGAACTGAACTAGAACTGAACTAGAACTGACTAGAACTGAACTAGAACTGAACTAGAACTGAACTAGAACTGAACTAGAACTGAACTAGAACTGAACTAGAACTGAACTAAACTGAACTAGAACCTGAACTAGAACTGAACTAGACTGAACTAGAACTGAACTAGAACTGAAACTAGAACTGAACTAGAACTGAACTAGAACTGAACTAGAACTGAACTAGAACTGAACTAGAACTGAACTAGAACTGAACTAGAACTGAACTAGAACTGAACTAGAACTGAACTAGAACCTGAAACTAGAACTGAACTAGAACTGAACTAGAACTGAACTAGAACTGAACTAGAACTGAACTAGAACTGAACTAGAACTGAACTAGAACTGAACTAGAACTGAACTAGAACTGAACTAGAACTGTACTAAACTGAACTAGAACTAAACTAGAACTAAACTAGAACTGAACTAGAACTGAACTAGAAACTGAACTAGAACTGAACTAGAACTGAACTAGAACTGAACTAGACTGAACTAGAACTGAACTAGAACTGAACTAGGACTGAACTAGAACTGAACTAGAACTGAACTAGAACTGAACTAGAACTGAACTAGAACTGAACTAGAACTGAACTAGAACTGAACTAGAACTGAACTAGAACTGAACTAGAACTGAACTAGAACTGAACTAGAACTGAACTAGAACTGAACTAGAACTGAACTAGTACTGAACTAGAACTGAACTAGAACTGAACTAGAACTGAACTAGAACTGAACTAGAACTAGTTAAGCCAAACTAGAAATAATAAAATGCTTTTTATGTCGACTTCGTTGTTGTACACCGCAGCACTGTTGGCATTTAAAAAATTCCCTCTAACCTCAGTAACCAAATAATTGTGTACTTTTTGACAAGAAATTGAAAAATATGTTACACACACATAAAATCCTGTAACAAACAGCCAATTTAGCAAACCGCTTAAAGGCAAACTGTTATGGAATGTGTTTTATATTCATTTTATGTTTAACAAGTACGTATGAAGCAGTTTGATGGTTTGGGTACATGTGATCCTATTTATATTTGAGATTTATGCAAATCTAACGGCAGCAAAAATGGTGTTAAAGAAATTTGAAATTTTTTGAAATGAAACAAAATTTAGTAAAAATTTTAAAATATCTAAGGGAAATAATTTAAAGCAAGTTTTGGCTTGAATATATAATAATAACAAAGTAGATTTGCAATATATTTACAATATGTATGCAAATCTGTTTTACATTACTCTAGTATTTGTGATAATCTTGATTACTATTGTAAATTTCTCCTGTTATCTTTTAATACTCTAGTTGTAAAATAAATCTCTAAACATTTATTGACATGTTTTTTAGTTTTATTTCATTTAGTGATATTTTTGTAAATAATACTTTTATTACGAGTTTGTGTATTTAACATTTGCCCATTTTAGTTTATTTGCTTTCAGCTCAGGTTTGTATTTTTTTTTTATTTTTTTTTTTTTTTTGTATAAAAGTTCTTATCTCTAATTTTTTATAATGCCTCTAAAATGTGTGAAATGTACATATGTTGGCACGAATGAATTTCTGCCAGCCAGCCAGACTGACTGTTTTGTATGGTTCATTCTGGCAGGCGGCCAAGCTGGCTGTTCACGTTCTTCTATTATCCAGTAGATAAGAAAAATATAAAAAGTTTTTGTTATTTTTTCAAATTCAATTCAATGTTTATTTGAGTCTGTCTAATGGTGAATAAGTAAATGGCTGTATTTGTTTAGTATTTACGAACGTATGAAAAGAAAATATAATACAGGTAAAAAAGAGCTTATGGAACAAAAACTAAAAATGCATTAAATAATGTACCAGAGCAATTGGAAATGCAATACTGAGTGGTAGTTCTGCTGTAGCTATAGCTGTTGAAACTTTAAATATATGCCTGACTTTGAGTAAAGTTTATTTCATAGTTTTCCGTATAATATATTGTTTTAATAAAAACTTTCTAAAATAGTTGTATCAGAAAAATTAATAATACAAAAAATAATTACCTTTTATACTCTAACAAGTATTTTCTTTCAAATAAGTTTCCTGGAAAAGAATATAAAAAAGGAGATTAGTTTTATAACATGACACTAAAAATTATATAATTTTAAATAATGCTTAACAAATCTACTTGAATTAAAACCAAATATTCTTGGAAATTGTGTACGTATATTGTAATAAATTTTGTATAAATAGAAATTCTATAATTACTTTGCACAGTGGCTTAAAAAAGTTCTTTTTATTTATTAATGCTCAATTTCCCATCCTGACTTGATAATCTTCCTCTATCTTGGTCTGACTGCTATCCTAGGAATATGTGCTACTAGTACCTCTAGTCAGCAAGGAGACTATAAACTGTTGGCATTATATGTATATCCTCGGTCTTTCCTTAGAATGATTTGACCTGGAGTCAAAGCAAAGAACCATATAATTTTGTACCACGGAAACCGGTAGCCCATAGGGCAAAGTTTCGGACTATATCTTGTTCTAGTTATTGGAGAGGTTCCTTTGAAGTGGTCCCCCTGAAGTCCAATATAGTTCGGGATACGTACAACAGATACCATGCACTGGAGTAATTGTGGGCTTGGGATGGATGTAGGGGTATGCAGGACCTCTCGCTTACCTTCCCACGAATAGATTTTCCTTCGAAATTCCCCCCGGGGGCAGTTACCTTGGTGAAATCTCCATCTTGATGTCACGGAGAAAAGAGGTGCTACCAATACCTCTAGTCTGTCGCGACTATAGACTGGTGATGATCAAATGTATCCTCGGCCTTTCCTTGGAATAATTTGACATGAGGTCTAACCAGAGTACCATATAATCTGGCACTAAGGGTGGCCAGTTGGTTGAGGTTCCATAGGGATCCACGTAGTGGCTGTGGTTTATACCCAAATTTGCAGGGAGAGAATGTTGGATCAAGGACTGATATATCCGAATGCCATATATATCTGGACTCTCTCTCTCTCTCTCCAGTATTTTTGCCTTCTCAAAAGATGTTACTGGGTGATGTGACAGAGCAATTTATGCTGGATTCCTGATTCCAGTTGAGTATCTCTTACTCTTCGCATAGTAGGGTGCCAGTATAGGTTGGTGAATTTACAGGTTGATACTTGGAAGTTGATCGTTCTTTATGGTCTGAGATTGGAACTGATGTAATTAGTGAACGATCGGGAAAGACTCTTCTGCCAAGGAGACTGACAGGAGACTAGTACTGATTTAGTAGAACTTTGACTTCAGGGAAGTTCTCGGTGCTGTTGCTATCTCAACAGCATTCATATTGTTTCATGCTACGCGATCAGTGGTTGAGACCCAGCACTCAATTTGTCGGGGCTATTATTGGGTTCGAATTGACTTTGGAAATTCCTATATCGTTTGTCACATTATCTGACATACTGAGCGGTCCTGATTTATTGGCTAGGAATTTCGGACTACCAAATATGTCTCTAGGTGCTGTTGCCGAAACAACAGACCCATTTCAGTAGTGTTGTTGCGCCGGATTTAAGAGGTTAAGGAATGCACTGGAATAGGTCATTAATTGATGGGGATTGTATTCATAAATAATGCAAACTTTCATGTTATCATATGGGTGGTCACCTTCCGGTATACCGGAAGATTGATTTCACCTGATGTTGGGGTAGTCACCCCTTCTATTGACTTTAGACCAGTGATTGCTTTTTCCTTGTCAGGGTTTTGCATTGGGATTGATCCCATGCTGCCTGTCATTACGCAACGGGGCTACTATGGCAAGAGATTAGATAGCTCGAGTTCTTCAACAGAGTGCTTGTACATGGACCGGCTCAGTCATGTAGAAAAATTGCCACCTCAGTTCTTCATAGAATGATTCAGGGACTCATCGTCTCAAGTCTATCCAGTGGATGAAAATGACCACCGTGAAATAAGGCCGTTAAGGCAGGTGTTCACGTAAACCATTCGACAATCTTGTCCTTCAAAATAAGTATAAGTATACGCATTCATGTGTACATCTCTTTAAGTTCTAGCGATATTTAGATTAAAAAAATCATTATTTTAATTTTAGTTTCTTAAAAGTTGCACCCAGAGTTTAATTATATAAAAAGGGATCTATTTATACTCAACATCACTGTGTGCAGTTTGAGCTGATGTTAAGCTGAAAACATTGGCCCTAGAATCAGACAGGCAGACAGACAGACTGACTGACTGGCTGACAGACAGATAAACAGACAGGAGAGTATCATTCGTTTAAGCTGAAAACATTGGCTCTATGATCAGAAAGACAGACGGAAAGACAGAAAGAAAGACGGACGGATTGACGGACAGTCGAACATAGCTTAACCAACTCGGAGTGTGATTCGAAGACGATCGGTATAAGAACTCTAGCTGTTGCTGTTTCTGAGAAATACGAATATTAATAAATTTTCTGTATGTGGGCGTGATATCTCGCCCATTATTTCAAAACAATAAGTATCAAATATATGTATACTTCTAAACATACAGAAAGGCACTACTTTCAAAACAAACAAACAAACATAAAATAATTTGTATATATGTATGTTGAAGTTGCGATAACGTTATCAGTTCAAAATCCATTCATAAAAATCATAAACTATTTTAGCAAAAATTGTACTTTAAGCTATTTTTAAAAAAATACTTAAAATCATAAAAATATATACGTCACATGTTTAAATATCAATATTAGTTTAAGGGTTTGATTTTATGGTTTTCTTGTTATTAGTATTAAAATTAAAATTTTTTATCTGAAAATTATAATGGTAGCGTTTCTATAAACATACATATTAAAATACATTTTTCTTAGAAACTATAAAGAGACAAATACGAAATAAATCTGCCATCGGTTGTATTTTCTACTTAAACTGATTATTTTTGATCACATTTCAGTTTTCGCGTAAAAATATATGAAATATTTTATTGAAATAATTGATTGGCAGTAATATGACCGAAATCAATTTCATACATAAATACTATTCCCAGGAAGGACAGACATTAGATTATTAGGAAATGTTATTTATCTCCCTACATCCTATTTAATATTTCTATTTTCTATTGTCTAGTTTTTTCATTCAATTTTAAAATCAATTGAATCTATTAAAGATTTAATCAAATATGTAAATATAGGTTTTAAACAAAGATTATCTGCTTAAGACAAATTAAAAAAAGATAATTGAATCTAAACTTTATTTCTATATATCCAATTTAAACCAAAAACATACACCCTCAACTTTACAAGTTAATTAAGAAAAACTCATTTTTAGCATGTCTCTCATTAAAGGTATTAAAGACAACATTATTCCCATTTTTTTCGCAGCATCAGCAATATTAGTATTGTAGTATTTTTACTTTTTAATCCGCTTGACTTTAGATGATGACATTACACACACACACATAGTATGTTCATCAAGGGATTGTGCTTAAATACCAGTTCTCATTTCCTTTCTACTATTTCCTAAAAAAACGACATCATTAGAAGACTTAGGCTTTGTCTAACACATTTAAAAAATTTCTTCTTTTTTTAAAAGCTTCATTTAATTTTGTTCTTTGCTTCCCGCTAGTGAAGGAAGAGTTTAAATGTCATGTTTAGATTTTTGTTACAAAATGTAGGAGTAAAAACTTTATAGACCATAAAAAGGGGAAACATTTATTTGTATTTTTACCTTTATGACATTTTAATACATTTAATTAAATTACATTTAAATATAATAAAATAAATCTACACTTACATAGATATGCATGAACGTATAAAAGTGAGAATGAAAGTATTGTTTGTACACAGAAAAAAAGTTTACTTTTAAACAAAAAAAATAGCAAAAATTATACCTCAATCTTTTTATAACCTTCACCCTCGTGATTAGGGTATATATAAGTTTGCTATTCCATATGTAAATTCTATTCTATTTATGTAATTTTCCGACCCTATAAAGTATATATGTACATTCCTAGTCCTTATTAGTTATGTCCGTCTGTCGATGGCCTTTTTTCTTTTGTCTCTCGCGGGTGGAAATTGTTGTGTATGGTTCTGCTGGTCCATGTACAAACACTTTTCTCAAATACTGAACGATCCAGTCTCTAACCATTTCTGTCCAGTTGCATTCCGAGATGCAAAAACATTGCTTCCGTTTACAACCACGCAGATTGGATGGCCTCTGTTGAGTCGGCAACAGCACCTAGAGACGTCTTCGGTAGTCCGAAACACGAACACACTGTGGTAAATCTGGTATGAATAGAGTTTTCCCTGAACATACCTGGACATGGAAGGGAAATTCAATGGTATCATTTGTACAAGATATCTTTCATCCATCGCCATTCAACCCAGCACACTTCTCATTCATACGACACACTCAATAGAGAACAACATCCTATACAATCACTCTAGGTATACGGACGGGTAAGATCATCCTGTATCATATACATTTAACACGAACTCATTTCCAACGCTTAGTCCCACAGTCACTCCATTGTGGGGTGTCTGTTGACTTCGGCAACAGCACCGAACTTATGCCGAATTAGAGATTTCACCGTACATTAGTCCTTTAACCAACATTCTATTCCCACGAATTTGGGCTTAAACCACGGCCAGGACAAATTCCTGCGGGCAACTGGCCACCCATAGTACCACATTATGTGGTTCTCTGATTCGACTCCATGTCAAAGGAATCCAAGGAAAGGCCAAGGATCATCATTTGATCATCACCTGTTTATAGTGCCGGCAGAGGACTAGAGGTACTGGTAGCATCTCTTTTCCCCGGGTTTGCAATCAGACCAAGATGGGGTCTTTCATCAAGGTAACATGCCCCCGTGAGAGATATGCGTCCGTATGTTGAAATCAGTTTTTAAAAGACCCCACATATCTGTGAGACCTGAATCTTTAATAATTCTATCAAAAACGCCTTCAAGAAGATCGCTATGTAAAAACAGAAAAATCGGTCCACTACCAACGGAGATGTGAGTTAAAATCCAAGACAACCTCTGAAAGTTTCATAAAAAATTTGAATTTTTTGTGCATGTTTTGACAAAACAAAAAACAACAACAAACAGCTTCATATGGTAAATTT